CAGAAAATTACCTTATAATTAACTTTTGCGAAACAGTAATGAAGCCCTAGCGAAAATATTGTGTAACAATATAGCGCATGTAGTTCACGTTTACAGCTATTAACTATTCAGTATTTAAATAACTTTTAAAACTGTCAAAAGTCGAAGAAAAATAATATATTCAGTATTATTTTATGCATTGCTAAAACTGCACGCTTTATGGAGTTTAACCTATTATTAAAGATCAAGTTTCTATATAATTAAGCTCGTTGCCCAACATCTGTGCACAGCTATTAAAGCTACATATAGTAGCTTTTTTGTTCTTGCCTCGCTGTTATTGTTTGTCATAAGCGAAAATCGTTTGGCTCGGTGCACGCGCACCTAGAACAAAACAACGCACGTACGAACAGTTATTTGGGTGCATGTAAATAGATAAAGTTCGCCGTGAAGTCAAATGAAAAGAGTTGCGCAGTTGGCGAGAGGGAGCGAGCGCTAAGCACAAGCCCAGAACAGTAATTACGATGCAGAGAAGGCCGCTCTAAATGACAACAATAAATTCACAGAAGAGCGAGCAAAAGCTAATTTGGAAATGAATGAACGCATTGCTACACACACATGCACACATGGACACAGATAAACGTTGACAAACCGAAACCCACAGGGGTTTTGTTTGGCATTCAAATTTCGTAGCCAAGCGTTGCAGCCTTTTGGCATTTCATTTATTTACTTCGTTATCAGAAACTTTAACTTCAACTTTGAATGCAATATAATTCGTTCTAAGTACACAATTCAACAACGTTTGTCATAGATCTCTTTTATGATCTACAATAACCGTTTGCATGTTAACAGAATATCACTGTAAGCAGTTTTAAGTCTGTTATGATAGCGGATGAATGTCCGTAAACGGGTTGAAGTCTGTTTATAACTGCGGATGAATGTACGTAGCGCACGAGTGCATATTGAGTACATTTGCACCCAAACGGCGCCAACAACAGAGTGCGAACACTGCAGAAAGCCAGGTAAGCAAAAAAAAACAACAAATATTGTCAATACAATACACTTATGTAGGCTTTGCAATGAGCATGACTAAGAATTTGTGTACTGCTGTCCCACCTGCATAGACTGTGATTGAGTCACAGGGTCGCACGCGACCAAAACAATTTGATACGCATTTATAAAGATAGTCTGCATTCTATTTACCACTTACCTGTTAAAAATATTCCAAACAAAGAGACAGCTGACGAATTATGTAGCAGAAACAAAGTGCACATATAAACACACACACGCGCACACACACACTCACATACGTATGTTTGTGTATGTATATAATTTTATTTATATACCAGTGTCACAGTTTGCTGTGAAATTTTATTATTATTATTTTATTGCAATTGGATTTTTAGAAAAATAGCTGTGTGCTAGTTTCTAAATTGCGTTTTTCACATTTTTTGCATTGTTATTTATTTGTTTTAAAGACTTCTTTCGTATTCCCGATTTATGTTGTATTCTCTTTTCAGTCGCAGCTAACTTTGCAGTGACGTGCTGTAACGCTGCTGGTTCACAGTAGACTAACAGCGCGTTATCATGTTAAAACTCAAAAGAAACTGCACTGCTGAAAATCGATTAGTTCCGATAGATGCGCAAAATTTAAAAATGCAAATTGTAGTTAACATAAATTTGATTTATTTATTTATTATATATTAATGTATTTTTATTTTTTTTGGAATGATTTCTTATTGCAGTAAGTGAATTCGACTATGTTTCTCTAGATACTCTCTTCTGGTAAAGCTCTTTATGCAATCTAAGCATTGAAAAGGACGTTCTCCCGAATGAGTGCGTATATGATTGACTAAATGGCTGCTTTGCGTGAAGGCCATATGGCAATGTGGACACTGATAAGGTCTGTCACCTGAATGGACACGGTTGTGCCTTTCCAGATTGACACTTTGTGTGAACGTTTTTGGACAGTGTAAGCACTTGTACGGCCTTTCTCCAGAATGAACACGATTGTGCCGCTGAAGATCTCCGCGATTCGCAAAAGTCTTTGGACACAGACAACATTTGAAGGAACGTTCCCCGGAATGGGCACGTATGTGCTCCTGTAGATACCATTTACTAGTAAAAGCTTTTGCACATTCGGTGCACTTGTAGGGTCGCTCGATATGGCTATGCTTCTCCAGCTCTGTCCATGAAGATGAGTGCGAATGAATGCGAATATGATTGGCTAGATGGTTGCTCTGTGTGAAGGCCTTCGGGCATTGGACGCACTTGAAGGGTCGTTCGCCGGAGTGAACTCTCATATGTTTGTCCAGATTGCAGCTCTGATTGAAGGCTTTCTGGCAGTAGATGCAGGAGTAGGGTCGCTCGCCAGAATGAATGCGAATATGCCTTTTAAGACTTCCTCGATTCGTAAAAATCTTTGAGCAAATCGGACATGGCTGAGCTTTATCTGATTTGTTCAGTTGAAGTTTCACTGGTTCATTAAGCTGTTCTTTGTGCTTCCCTTGCCTATCGGCTCAATGAACTCCTGCTCCTCGCTTTTTATGTGCACTTCTATATTTCTATGGACTTGCTCCTCTTCTTCTTCAATTCCTTAGCCTCCACTTTAATGCTACATTCTGGATATTGCCAAGCCTCGCGCAGCAGCTGACTAAAGTGTTGATAGCTCTGCTCGCATCTTCTTTTGAAACGATATGCATTCTGCGCAGCTAGCACGCAGGCTAAACATATTTGTTTTGGAAATGGATCGTCGCGTAGCACAAGACAGTCAACGCATTCGTTAAGCATCTCGGCCAGACAGGGCTCGGATTTGTCGGATTGATCACGTTCAGCGAAGATATCCACTAGAGTGACAGCGCTGCTTGTACAAACGCGACAAACTTCTTCCATTTTAAATGGGAAGGCAAATTTTTCCAAATCCTCTTTTTGTTTATGTTTTCTTTCTATATCAATTTGTAACGCAAGCTGCATCCGGGTGGTCAGCAAATACCTAAAAATATACTAGTTTTTGGTAAAAATACCATATGTTGTATTTTGGCTTTGTAGCGATAACGATTATATTTATTTATACCTTAAATGAGGATTAAAATGCTTTTTGTTATTTATATAAGTTAATATAATTTTAATTTAACAATTTCTTCATTTTATATTCTATTACGCTCGAAATTTTGGTGTACATCTTTCAGTTAACCGTCATCGAACCAATCGAATAATGCGGCGAAGTTTGTTTAACAGCGCAACATGTTCCTACAGCTATACAGTCATAGCATTACTCTCTCTGCTCTCTTAAGATTACCTGCACGTATATCTTATTGGACTGTTGAGAACAGCACTTGTTAACATCGTGCGTCGACTCTAACAGCTGTTACACAAAACTGTTATTGTATATCTTGCTGTTGACGCGTGTGGTCGGGTTTTTTCGGCGGTAAATGCGGGTATTATAATCTAAGCAACAAATATAAGTGCAAAATAAAGAAAAAATTCATGAAAAATTGCAAAAATTTCTAAATGTGTTGAAGATCGCGATAAACATAATATTAGTTAAATAAAGGTAAATTATAGCAATGCAAAGCTATTTTTAAGAGTGTGTGTGTAGCAAAATCGATTATTCAATCTGTGTGTGAACGTATGTGTATGCGTATGCGTATGCGTATACCTCAGTGTATGTGTGAGCATGTGTGTGTTTGTTTTAAAGTTTTTTATGCATTGGGCATACCACTATAAACGGAAAACTTAACATAATATGCCAATTTAACTAATTTAAAATGCAGCAAAGACAATTGAAAGAAAAATACGAATAAAACGCAAACGACAAAGCAAACTGCAAAATGTAGAGAAGTGTATACCAAAAGCAGAGCGGTAAAAAAGTCCAACCAGAAACGTACACAGTCACAGTTACACACACACTCGCACAGAAACACAAATTCATTTGCTCATACTCTTACACACATATTCACACATACTGAGACAAACGGCTAAGCGCGTACACAAAGTAAATGAGCGCAAAAGCAATTGCGAAAAAGAAAAACAAGTGCAAAAGCAAAACACAGTCTATGAGTGTGTGTGTGCGCGTGTGTGTAAAAGCAAAAGCAAACGCAAAGCGAAAGATTTAATAATTAATTTAATGCCTCAGCTTGAGTTTAGCAGGAAAGACAAAAGTTCTCACTGAGCTGGCAGCTGATGCAGCTGCCAGTGGGTGTGAGCGAGAACGCAGCATATGTCCGGCCATCAGCTGTTTTGACACTTGACACGATCGTCGCCCGTGTTGTTTTTTCTCGTTTTTTTTGTTGTATTTGATTTACTTTGTTTTAGTTTTTTTTTGCATTTTCTTTGCTGCTGTGTTTGCTTGCCTAAACGAGTTGCGCTTTGATTTTTGCGTTGTGTTAATTAATGCAAATTGGTTTATTTATTGAGTTAAATTGTTTTTATGCATAGTTTGGTTTCAATTGACGCAAAAGCAAATGCAAAGTCAAGCAAAGTCAAAAGCAATAACAATATTTCAAATAAAATATATAAATAATTACAAAAGAAACAAAAACAGTGAAAAGTAAAAACAATGTAGAATAAAAAACTATCTGGCAACTCTCTACAAGTTATTGTTCCCCTTAAAAAAAAATTAAGTCAAAATTTCCAACGCTAATTTTTGTTTTATCCTTTTTCTTACACATTCTCTTTGCAGCTACACAGAGAAAAAAAAAAGAAAATTTAAATTTAAAAGCGGAATTAAAGAATTTCAAGTGTTAAACCAAATGTTAGTCTAAGCTTAAAGTGTAAAACTAGTTTAAGCCCGCAAAGTGTTAACAAAAGTAAAAACAAAACATAGTAATTTATAATATTAATCCAAAAAAGAAACGAAAACTGTAATAAATAATACAAAAACCAACAACAACAACAAAAGCTGAAGCTTCCACTAATACAACAAGAGCAAGAGTTAAACAGTCAGTTTTTACGGCTAAAAACGAAGGCTAGAAAAAAGGCTAAACGTGAATAGCTGCGCTTTGCAATCAGCCCAATTGCATTAAAATTTTCTTTTGACCGTTGTTAATCAATTCGCCAAAATAGCTAAATCCATTTTACAATTTCTAAAAAAGAAAAAATCCCATCATAGTTCAGGAACGGCAAGCGGCAGCGGCAGCGGATCAGAGGGCAAGTTACAGCAGCAGCACAGCAACGAGGAGGAAGGCGGTGGTGCAGGTGGAGGACAGCAGGAAGCAGCCGCCGCTAGCCACAAAATAACGCCGCCGACCACAACAGCAGCAGCAGCAACAGCAGCGGGCAGAGCATCGGGTGCAGGAGTCGAAGCAGGAGTCGGAGCCGGTGTAGCCAAAACAGACGCAGCTGCTGCCTCTGGCGAGGAGCCGCCGTTGGCGAACAACCAAAGCAACAGCTCACCTCAAGCTCAGGTCTCGGCCAGCGCCACGTTTCGTTTGTCTTCGTTGACGGGCACCATCTCGAAAATGGGCAATAACGCGACCACATCCAACAAGAAGGTGGATGCCGCCGAGACGGTTAAGGAGTTCCTTGAACAGGCCAAGGAGGAGTTTGAGGATAAATGGCGTCGCAATCCAACCAATACGGCTGCGCTCGATGATTTCGAAAGGATCAAGACACTGGGCACCGGCTCCTTTGGCCGCGTCATGATCGTGCAGCATAAGCCAACAAAAGACTACTATGCCATGAAGATATTGGACAAGCAGAAGGTCGTCAAGCTGAAGCAGGTGGAGCATACGCTCAATGAGAAGCGCATCCTGCAGGCGATACAGTTCCCATTCTTGGTCTCGCTCCGCTACCACTTCAAGGACAACTCCAATCTCTACATGGTGCTGGAGTATGTGCCCGGCGGCGAGATGTTCTCGCATCTGCGAAAAGTCGGACGCTTCTCGGAGCCGCATTCACGTTTCTATGCAGCACAGATTGTGCTCGCATTTGAGTATTTGCATTATCTGGACCTCATCTATCGCGATCTGAAGCCGGAGAATTTATTGATCGATTCGCAGGGCTACTTGAAGGTCACCGATTTCGGCTTCGCCAAGCGGGTCAAGGGCCGCACCTGGACGCTATGCGGCACACCTGAATATCTGGCGCCCGAAATCATTTTGTCCAAGGGCTACAACAAGGCCGTCGATTGGTGGGCGTTGGGCGTGCTGGTCTACGAAATGGCAGCCGGCTATCCGCCGTTCTTTGCGGACCAACCCATACAGATCTACGAGAAGATCGTCTCTGGCAAGGTGCGCTTCCCCTCGCACTTTGGCTCCGATCTGAAGGATCTGTTGCGTAATCTACTGCAAGTGGATCTGACCAAACGCTATGGCAATCTGAAAGCAGGCGTCAATGATATTAAGAACCAGAAATGGTTCGCCTCCACGGACTGGATTGCGATCTTCCAAAAGAAAATCGAAGCGCCGTTCATACCGCGGTGTAAAGGTCCCGGGGATACAAGCAATTTTGATGATTACGAAGAGGAGGCGTTGCGAATTTCCAGCACCGAAAAGTGCGCCAAGGAGTTTGCCGAATTCTAGAAGATGCACAAACAACAACACGCATTCAAGTCACCATCTTCGTTACCATCGTCGTTGTTGTCGTCGTCGTCGTCTCGTCTATATGTCTACTACTTACTACAACTACTACTATTACTAGTGCTACAACTGCAGCTGCAACTGCAACTGCAACTGCAACTGCTACTGCAACTACAAATGCAACTGCAACTTTTACATCTACTTGGGTCTAGCTGGTCATATACTTATCACACACACACATACCCATACACACAACCCAACACACACAAACACCAACACCAATACAATACAGCACAACACAACACACATCAAAAGAAACCCCAATTGGATTTTTCATACCCAGTCGCAACAAATAACAAATAACAGTGAGTATCCAATTGGAATTATTTACATTATAATGCATTGATATTATATAACATTCAGAAAGGATATTCTATTTATTTATTTTTTTTATAATAAAATTTAAACTAGTTAAATATAGTTATAATTAATAAATATATAATATATTATATATTTGGAGGAGCTCAAACTGAGACATCTTTACATTGCATTGAATCACTCTTATTGTATAGTCTTGTGTACATATATATGTATATTAAGATAACACATATTATAAGTTCGGAAACTTTCAATTAAAAGTTATAAATATGCCTTATAAATCAAACAACAATAAATATTAATATCAGCAAATATGATAATCAAAAACAAGTCCATCAGTACGTGATTATTAGGTGTATTTGAAGTCTTTTCAGTCAAGTCTTTTTTCTGTCTTAATGTTAAATGCAAGCAGCAATGTATGCTTTCATTACTACTTTTAAATTACTAGAAAATCTTCATTTGTGACCAAGATATTGCCTCTTGAATTTAATTAGTATCTTTCTCACACGCCACCTATTGGCGCGTAGAGTAACCTGTCGCTGTTAGTTGACCTTGTCGGAAGTCTTTTCAGCGCGCGATATCTCACTGATAAATAAAATTTTCAAACATTTTCAAAAGACTTGTATAGAAGAAAAAATGTACTTTCTGTTATTGCAGAAATAAAAATTTAACTAGATATGATAGAAGCTGAAAATGCCATAGAGGCGTTTTTTGCATTTTAGGTTAATATATATTTGACCTTTTAGCTCTATTCTAGTTTCAGTATTGCGCTCACTTAACCACCACAAACCATTGAAAAAGTATAGTCTGATACTTGGTAACTAAATTTGATCAAAGTAAATTAATTTTGTGGTCCTGTGGTTTCTTCAAGGTTTGATAGGCGAGCATTCTATAGGAAATGAATCTCAGATTTTTGCTTTATTTATTCAGTTTTGTGCAGCCACATACTTGGGTATAGGGTATCAGTGATGTATTATCTTTCATTCAAATAGTGTTCTTATATAGGCAAACGTAATTTGCACTCTATATTTACATTCTATTCCCTAAGAGATCGGTGTTGTGATATATACGCATAGATAATGATGGAAACTTTGTTCCATAAATGATTTACGATTGATGGTTGTTTGTTTCCCTTTGGACAGCACCTTGAAGTTGATGAAGCACAGCAGCAGCTTCTTAAGCACACGAACCCGAACTGAGTTCATCAACTCAAATTGTTCTGATTGTGCTTTAGACAGCTTCTGCTTTTCACCCTCTTCATTATCTCACTCTGCCCACATTTTGTTGAAAGCGTGCCGGTCATTCTTTTAATTAGTTTGACTCGTTGCAGCTGTCAGTGAGTCGAATTTCTTGGTATTTGGCGGGCTCTATATGTGTCGGTGGGTCGACAAAGGCTTTGGCAACCTGCTCGCACCACATGTTGAGCACATGTTCCTTCCATTGAAATAATTCCTAATACGTGCTCTTACTCGACTCTGGCCGTTTCAGTTGCTGGGAAACACCATTCGAGATAATGCTAAATGTCAGAGCTTTTTTTTTCAATCGTTCAAAAGTGCTCAATGAATCAATGAGTTGAAAATAATTCGCGTTTGACACTAACTATGCGTTGTTAGATAAGAAATTTCTGTCACAGGTGGTAATAGAATACTTTGTGGTTGTAGACTACGAATATTTTACTGCCAAACACATTATATAATATGGCGAAAGATTAGATTAAAGGTATTATCTAATATCGTATAGATATATATATGTATATAAATATTATGAATTACAAGTTATGCATCTTTAAATAAAAGCATTGCAATGACAACCACAGATATTTCTCTGATAATATTTTTATTTAAACAATAAATATATATTAAATTAAAAAAATAATAATAATTTAATATATTGATGTATAAATATAATTAAAATACAAATATTAAAGTTTAATAATGTTAATATAATAATGTTATTCATTTAAAAATTTTATTTTTATTTATATATATTATGTTATTTTTTACATTTATATTAACTCTGCCTTTGACTGATTGATAATAAATTAAAAATATGCAAGTATTTGGGTTAATTAATTTGCGTCTGCTGAAGAGATAATAGCTATAGCCCTTCTTACAAAATTTCCCTACACGTAATTGTTATTTCTTTTATCTTTTTTTTACTTTTTGGTAATTAAAACTTTTGCGTGAACGAAAATTTCTTGCTTGCCTCAAAAACACAGCCCTCAGTTTGCTACCTGTCTCTCTCACTGTCTCTCTCACTCTCTCCCTCACTCTCTCTGTTCATGCTCACTTTTCGCATTGAACTTTGCGTTTAACCAAATCAACTTGGCGACCAAAATGCCACAAAATATTGATATTTACACTTGACCCATTTGGTTGCCTTGACAGTCGAGTATGTATGTATGTACATGAGTGCTTTTGTATGTATGTGTGTTGTGCTGTCCTTAGCATAACTAATGTCAAGCCAGCAAGGCTAACAAAATAGAAAATTTGTGTATATATGTATTTATATTAAATATATATACATAATTCTATGCGCTTTTGCTTTGCAGTTACAAATGGTTTTTTATACTCGTTTTTTAAGTGGAAAAACGGGTATATTAGTTGTGCACAATAATATAGAAAATTGATATTTAAACTAAAAGCTTCTGCGGTGCCTGGTATTATGAGCTGTTAAGAAGAGCTTGAGGGCGTGGCTAAATTAACTTGGTAAACTGTTATTAATCACATAACAAATATTATGATTGTATTATGGTCAATCTGTAAGTTCTAGAAACTTACACCTGGCCTTATCAAAAGAAAATTACTTTAGACTGCCTATATATATACCTTCAGTTTTGGTTCTGTTCATTAGGGCGATTGTTGTATAGTTGAAATTTAACTGTTTCTGTGTTGTCAACAACAACCATTTTGCAGTCTGTTACACCCGACTGCAACATTCTGACTTTTCGCGTGCTTTTCGCCCATTAGCCAAATACGCATTGTTGTTGGTTTTTCATTAAAAGTCAAGACGCTGCGCGTTATTAATATAATAATAAATTATAAGCAGCCACTGTGCGGCAAATGCGTGTAACAGGCGAATAAAACGTCAAGAAAATATACAAAAAAAAAAAAGGAAAACATAAAACATTTATAATTATGAAATTTACAAGTCAAGGCGTGGGCCGTCGTCATTAAAGAGTCAGTAGAAGCATACAGTGTAGACTGCTGCTGACCTCCACAATAGACGAAATATTTGTATACTAAATACTTTAGCTGCATTTCATATAACACATTGACCGTGACCTTGCCTGACCTCTGGATAGGCTCTGCTGGCTTGTCTTCTGCTAATTTGTTTATTCCATTCCTTCATGTGACACATTTCTTGCTCAATTTTATTGGCACTAATTAATGTTCGAAGGGAAACAAAAAAATAAAAAGGAAACAAAAATTGTATTCATCAATCATTTCTTTTTTATTTGTTTCACTTTTCGTTTTCAGCCCCGTGGCCAATTATATCGATAGTCTGAGCAACTAGCACTTAAGCATTTGCCTATTTACATAAACCCCTCCAAAGTGCTCAATGAATATATATGAGTCGCGTTGTCTTAGATATGACTAAGACTTAGGCTTTAAGGCCTAATAGGGATATTGTGTTAGGGTATTGATGTTAAAGTTCATAGTAAACTAAATATTGCCTAATGATAATTATCTAAACTGATAATAGTTCTATCAATTCCTCAGTTTCTCAACATTCCATTCAATGTTCACATATTAATCAATTTTATGGTAGCTATAAAACTCTGTGTACACATTTCTTTTGTTTTTGTTCACTTTTTATATTCTTAAAAATGTTTTGTACTAGCCTTCACTATTTCGCAATATTATTTATTGTAATTTAGGAAAATATTTTTATAGAAAATATATATAATATAGTGGGATCAACTTCTTTATAGGGACATCCTATAGCTAAATTCTTATAGATAAATTATTATTAACCTTAGAACTCTTTCTAAATCAGTTTAAAGCGCATTGAAGCTAATCTTATAGTGCTATATATCATATGTAATATTTCTTAAACACTTCAAAGTGTTTCATTGCCATATTATTATCATATATAATCTTAATATGTATAAAAGTATTTCTCCATGTATTTATTTTCAAAAAAAAACTTCAAAGTGCATCGAAGACAGTTTAAGTCTTTTTAAATAAAGTTTTAACTTTATAATTTCAGACGTGAATTCTATGAAAACTATTAAATACTTTAAGATTTTTTGTGATTTTTGTGCCCTATAGAAAAATAGGGTATATTTGCCTTTAGGTAAAAGTACAGTTGTGTTCATGAAAATTTTAGTAGTAAATTTACATTAAATAATTTTTATATTTAAATATTATTTATTTATTTATATATTTATATATTTTATTTTAATATTATATTTTATTCTTGTCTCTGCATTTGTGCCATATCTTCGTGTGGTTCATCTGACTCAATTTCGCTTGCTGTTAGAGCCACACAATCTAAGAATTAAAACTGGAAGCTTAAATTTATTTCAAATTGATACCGATTTTCACTTATTTTTAACATAGCTTAAGCTATATTTTAAATGTACACAATTAATGTCTAGATTAACGGTAAGCAAACTCACTAAATGATTACTTTGATTTGGTTACATAAAAATCTTATTGTTAAAAGATAAAAATTCATTTAATATTAGAGAGAATATTTTCAATATTAGCTTGACACATCGTTCAAGGTATTTCCT